TTGCCCCTAGCTTTGTCAGCTCTTCTGAATGCCCATCTCTTTCTGATTTTGTCCTTTTCTGGGTTCCAGTCGCAAGGAGCAAGGCTCCAACTGGGTTTCTAGGGGACAAGGGTTTGGGCACTTGGCTTTCTCTGGATTGCCGTGGAGGACTTCTTTGAGGGAATGTGCAGTGGGCACACTGAAGGCTAAGGAGGGAGAGCAGTGTGCACCTGGCATTCCTGGTGTCTGGCTGCTTCAAGGAGGGCTACTGGACAGTAGGAACCTGCAGTCTTTCCCCCAGCCTTTTGCTGCCTCCCTTATTCCTTACGGGAAGGGAGAGCCCCGGACTAGTGTCCTTGGGGAGTAAGAATCAGAGTTTAAATCCTCAAGAACTGTGTCCTCATAGCTTCAGTATCCAGTATTGCTTGGTGGCTTGTTGTTTTAACTGTCGAGGAGGGGCTACTGATTTCCTCTGTTACATGTAAGACTCATAAAGGATGGGTGATTAGGATGAAGACAGTGGCTGGGAGAATAATGCAAACAGTTTCTACTTCTGGATTTGTTCCTTCAGCCCCTCAGCTAAAGCCCTTCAGCATGGGTACACCTGCCCCTGACGTCAGCACCCAGCCCTCAGATGTAACCTTATTAGCCCACCACACATGGCACCTCACTTCTGGGTGCTCTGTCTTGGACAGTGGTATCTGATTGGTTGCCTAAGGATCCTCCCCTACTGCCCTACCCTGCCACTGCTTGCCAAAGGAAGCTACCAGCTCCGCCCTCCTCACCTCCTACGCAGGTCCTTCCGGTGCCCTGACTCTGCTCTCAGCCTTTGCCAATTACCCCTCCCAGGAATGTTGCCCCGCCTGGGAACCCTCAGCCTGCTTCCCACTGGGAACTTAGAATTGAGTTAAGGATTCTTTCTTCCTTGTCAGTCCACCCCACCCTGGCATACACAGACATGAATGCAGCCTTCCTCCAGATCTGCTCCTCTGAGTAGCTTGGAGGCAGGGTTCTGTTTTCTTCTTGAACCACACAAGAGGGGCTGTGCAAGGGAAGAGGGACCCTAATCTTAGTGTGGAAGGCAAGGGACAACAGGAGACATGACAACCTTCCTTCTCCCCCACCCCCCACACATCTGGAAGTTGATTGAGTTTCTGGTGGCATTGGCCCTATGTTTAGGCAGCAGTGCCAGCTGATATTGCTCGACCTTCCTGTCCATCCTGAGACGGTTGTACTCATGTTTGAGGGCAGAAGACAGAGGGACATGCCAGGATGCTAGACCTCTGGCTGGCCTGAAGAAAAGACAAAGATTGCCAGTGGACATCACTGCAGACGTTACCTACATAGAAGGGCTAATAGAAGTGAATTCAGCAACTCGGGTGACACGAGTGTTCCTGAAGCAGCACAAATGAACACTATTTGTTGCACAAGAAATAGAGAATCTGTATAGTAGTCCTTTCTAAAGGCTGCAGGAAAAGCCTCAGATCAAGCTGGCATCACTGAAGTCTTTGTCGAGCATTTAGGGAACCAGTGTTGATCCTGCATGATTCTAATTTTATTTGTGGAAGTTTAGTCCCTGGCAAAAGGTTTCAGACATTAGGAAGCAGGTTGGTCAAAGCCAGTTTGGGCAGAGCTGGGTTTCAGATCCCTAAAGGTCCCCTCAGAGGCTCTTACCTCTTGCAAGCTCGGGTAGGGAGTGTGTGGGAGGCCTTACTTAGACCAGGCCTCTTCTGCCCTGCGGTCCCCAGTGCTCCTCAGGCTTTGACCATTGCCCAGTGGAGAGCAGCAGTTAAGTGCAGGAAATTTGTGGAGGAGGTCTGTGTAGGCAGAGTCTGGGCAAGACCTTGAAGAGGCTCCAGAGATGCCCACACTGAGAAGGACTTGGGAAATGGGTGCCAAGGCCTGGATGTGAATAGGAGTGGCCATTGGTCCGTGGCCCGGCCTGGGGTCTGGCTCTGATGTGCGCTGGGTCCTCTGCCCAGAAGTCTTGAGAAAGCCACCCTTGGGGAGGCTTTGAGCTAGCCTCTGGGACTGGCCAGACAGTGGGCTGTATTTGGGGGTTATTAGGGTGGGTGTTCTGGATGGAGGCCAGCGTGAACAGCAGGGGTTTGGGGTGCTGCACCTCCCCAGGCCAGGCTTGTAGGGTTGAGTAGAATGTTCTAGGACAAGGAGGCCCAATGGGAGCTTTGAGAAAGGGGGCAGTGTAATGTGGGTGGATACGGTGGAGTGAGACTTAGAGGAAATGGGCTGGGGAAGGGGGGGCATGCGGAAAAGCTGTACTCTCAGAAGTGGAGGGGCTGGCAGGGTCCCTGAAGGGGAGTGGTTGGGGACTTTATTGCAGTGGGGACCTGAGGAGATGGTAGAGGAGAAGAGGGGTCAGCAGATGGAGGGGTTTGGGAGGAGTGCATGGAGAGAAATCTGGATTCAGGGTCTCAGGAAAAGCCTGGTGCCTCGGCTCCTGGGAGGCTGTGTGCCATGCCTGCCTTGCCCGCCAGCTGGTGTGCACTGGGGCCTGGGCCGTGTGGGTGCACAGGAAAGGCTACTGAGATCAGAGCTTTTTTTAGGAATGCGGTGCCACCCTTGATAAGCCGTCTCCTGTCTCGCTGGCAACAACACAGGACCGGGATCAGGGGGGCCCTTGACCCAGAGCTGCAGCTGCCACCCACGGGGTCTGTATCCAGGAGCAAATCTTTTCCTCTCCTGGGTTTCCTCCTGGGTGAGCTTCAGACCTTGAGATGGGCTATCCTGTGAGCCCTCCAGGACTGAGGGCAGGTGGGCTGCGAGGCTGGGCTGCACCGGCTGCCATCCTCCCACGCTGGGGAGATGGGGTGGATGTGCAGGCCTGGTGACCCAAGCCAGGATCTTCCAGGAACCATTTTCTTTGCTGTTTGCCCCACTCCCCCTGGCCTCTGACCAGAACCCCTGGACATGCAACCCTTGGTCTCGGGTTCTGAATCATCCACACATGTAACTTATCAAGCAGTGTGTCTGTGAGCCACTCTGACAGAAAGGCTGGATTGCAGGTGCCCCCATCTTTCCCTCTGTGCCGACCATTCCAGGTCACCTGCCTGGCAGTCACTTTCCTTCCTTTTTTTCTTTCTTTCTTTCTTCTTTTTTTTTTTTTTTAAATGTTGTTTAGAGAGTAGGGTGCTTTTTCATTCATTAATGAATAACTTGGCCTTTACCAAGGCACTTCAGTGTTTCTGGGAGGGTGGTGGCAGTGGTGGGGGCTGGGTTTGACCTTGCTCAAGGGCTGGGAAAGGGCCTGGTATTTGCAAAGGCTGATTCCCTTGCCTGCAGTTGCCACCCTCTTCTGTCAGGTGGTTCAGGTTAACAGAGACCTTTATGGAAAGAAGCCTTCTCCTGGAGTTAGGGAACCTCCACTGAGCCCTGTCTCTCCTTCTCCTCTTGGGTCTCACCAGACAAGAGTGCCTCCCCCCCAGAGTCTGCCCCCACCTGCTGAGCTGGAGCTCTGTGGCAGGCCTCCCGTTGCCTTGACAACCTTACCTACCATCCATCTTTGCCCCCTCCCCTGTGCCACTCCCATCCCTGCCCAGCTGTCTCTAGTTCTGAAACATCCCTGAGATCTATGTTGAACCTTCTCCCATAGCTGCCACCACTGGGTCAGTTATTCTGTGCCTGCTGCCTCATCCCTGTGAGACAGGGCAGCCTGGATATGGGTCGCCCTGCCTGTTCCCATTGCGGAAGCTGTTCTCAGGCCAGGTCTCCTGCCTGGTTTGGCAGTCTCCTCCCTCACAAGTTGTGGGGCCAAAGCACGGCAAGGTCCTCAACTGGAGAACAGATGCCACTTGGACAGGCAGGTCGTTGTCAGGCACACACAGCTGCCAGCAGGCTTCACCCCTGCAGCTGTTGTAATAAGTTTGTGGTACCAACTTGTCCTTGTTCCTTGGGGAAGCAGCTTGGGGATGGCTCTTCAGGTCAAAGGCAGATTGCTGTCTGCAGTGAAGTGAGTCGGGGGACAATCCTGGCTTGCAAAGACAACTGCTAGGGCTCCGTCCTGGGTGCCTCAGGTCTGCGCGGCCCGCTGGGCACTCCCATGCATTTGAGCTCACAGTGTGTCTGCAGGACAGGTTGATCTGATGAGTGACTGCATAGGAAAGGAGAAAATGCTCCCAGGAGTGTGTCATCTGTGGCAGGAGGCGGCGGCCTGGCCATTTCCTTCTGCTGTGGCCTTGGGTGCCCCTGGAAGATAAGTGTGTACCCTAAGAAGGCTGAGGTAGACAGGACTTCTCTAGACAGAACAATAACAAGACCGGGCAGAGGGGGAGTGTTAGAGGAAGCGCATTTAGAGGAAGTGATTTTTCTCATAGAAACTGTGATTCCTCACACCTCTGTCTCCGCGTATGTAGGTTTTTCAACCTGCTTGTGGAAAATGTGCACAATGAAAAATCTATGTGTGAACTTCAAATTTTTTCCACCAAAATACACTTACCTTTTCACTTCATTTTTTTCCATGATCTTTTTGAAATAGCCTTGTGCATCTCAGGTCTGGGCAGTGACTCTTGTTTCCAGTGCAGTACTGAGTTAAAAGTTGTCATTTCCTGAAAGAAATCAATTAGGTATTTTCTGAGAAGCCCCTGGTCCAGCGGGGGAGTTGGGAGATGGAGCTCTTCCTCCTGCCTTGGTTGCTCTGTGTTCCCTCCACCTCACCCCCACCTGCTCCAATGCACGTGGTGATGGTTCTCAGCTCAGTGGGTGCTGTGGTAACCTGAGAAGAGCGGGCTGGCCTCTGCAACCTGATCCCCCTCCTTCCTCACCCTTCCCGTTGCTCTCCCGAGAGCCACCACATGCCTGACACTGGGTCAAATGAGAGACTTCAAACCTGGGTCAGGGAGGGAGGCTCAGAAGCGGCAGGCATGAGCCCCACGCAGAGGCTGGGACACAAAGCTGGTCCTGGCCAGGGGCCAGGGTGTCTCTGGCTCCTGAGAATTCCTGTTCCTTCTTAGCTTCCGGGCACAGGAGCTTTCATGTAAGCTGTGACTTTCTCCTTTGCTTTGCAGGACAAGGAAGAGGGGGAGCTCAAGGCCAAGCAGCCCAGAGAGGAGGAAGAAGGCGAGAAGCACAGGTGAATGACCCGTGCAGCTCTGCTCTGCTCCCAGCTCCAGTTCCCACTTGTCTCCATGGGGTCCCAGCCCTGCCTCTGCCTGCCTCTCTCCTCTTCCTCCCGTGGCTCCCTCATCTGGGGCCTTCTCTACATCCTCCCCCTCTCTCCCCACCTTTGGCCTTCCGGTAGCTGCACAGCTGCTCATAGTTTCCTTCTAACCTTCACACTCTGCCTTTCTACTCTGTTCACATTCCTTTGATGTCTCAGGTTTTGTGTAGAGCTCAGCCCAGACTTCTCATTCTTCGTCTATGCCCCACCCTCATTCTCACCCCGCAGTTTCATACCCTTATGTAGGAGAAGTCAGTTTTTGCCAAAAAAACAGCATTGGGTTGAGTCAACTGAAATTGTCTGAACAGCACATGCAACAGGGTTTGGGCGCTGCTCCCTTGTGGTGTGAAGCACAAGGCCTTCCTCCCTGACTGGAGGGCTGCTCCTCCCCAGGGCACCATGAGCTGCTTTGCATCAGAAGTGGTGGGGACTGTTTGTAGGAGCCAGTGTGAGGACAAGGAGAGCAGGGCACCTGACCCTCATGAGCTTGGGAGAACCTCCAGATGCCCCCAGTCCCAGTGGTCCCTTACCCCATTCTGTGGCCAGCCCCAAGTTGGAACTCTGCCTGGGACCAGACTTTGCGTCTGTGTTGACAGATGACCTTGATGTCCTCTTCCCAGAGCAACAGTTGTGTTCGTCCCAGCCAGGGGAAACCCTTTGCCTCACATGCAGCTGAGTGTGGAAAGGCACTCTGGTTAGGGAACAGAGCAGACCCCATCCCCAGCCTCCTTTGCTTCTGGGGAGAAAAGGATGACCTCTGTGGTCAGCAGCCAGTGAGCATCTCAGATTGCTCTGTTCTTGCAAGCAGAGAATAGCCAGTTGAGTCTACTGGGTTGAGCCTGGGTGCCAGGTGGAACCCCCGTGGGCGGTAGCCCCTTGCAAGTGTGCTAAGAGGTGTGCAGAGCCTGCTCTTGGCTGCCTTCAACCAAGGCCTAATGGAGAATGTGCTTGCTGAGTTCAGGCCAGGATCTGTGGGGTAGAATTTCTGTTTTGGAAGGCTCAGTGCTGCAGACCTGCAGTGGATGGTGAGTTAAACTCTCACTGGGGAGACATGGACAGACGTCAGTCACTCTGTCCCCTTGACCCCTACTCCTAAGCCCTGCTGTGTCTCGGGATGACTCCAGGTTAGTTAGAAAGATCTGTCTCTAAACCTGCGTCCAGCCTGGGTGCATCTGTGACTCACTTTCCTCCTTCCCAGCCTCTTCCCTCAAGCCTCACTCTGGTGTCCTCCCCGAGCGGCTCCATCCTGCATGACTGCCTGGCTATGACCTCTGACTGCCAGGTGACCCTGGGTATGCTGCCTGTGAATGCCTGGCTTCAGCTTCCTTCGTGGTGCTGTTAGGTGTTGGCGAGCAAGATCTTGCCCTAGATACCTTCCAGGTCTCAGTGCCCCTTGCAGAGGTGCAGGGGCCTTGCAGTGGTAGCCAGTTGCATGGATTGGTATGACTGGTTCATCAGGCACATTTTTTACTTGGGCACCTGGGAAAACAACAGCTATGAGGCAATTTTTGGTTTAGCAACCAGCCCTGGAACTGGAGGATTTAGGCAGATGGAGCAAGCCCCTTGATTTGGAATTCAGCCTTAGATTTGAGGGCAAGCCACATGGCCTCAAGAAACCTCAGTACTTCAACTTTAAGATGGGTTTAAGGCTAGAACTTGTTTTGCCTAATGGCTAGCGCAAATGCCACAGCTGCTTTCCCACTGGGGTTTGGGTGGTGGGTACGAGGGGAGACCATGAGTAGCAGTGGTGAGAGCTGAGTGAGGCCGATGCATGGGAGTTGAAGTAAACAGGTTTGACTGAGGAGTGCCATGTAGCACCTTGCTGCCTCAGCACATGAGACAGGCCTTGGAGATGGGCAGAGCTGCATCGGTGTCTAACCCAAGACATGGGAAGACCTGTCGGGTTGGGAGGAGGTGCCTCATTGCCTGATCCTCTCCAGTTGTGCTGACATCACCCACCTGTTTGCCTGTACTGCACCTGCCCCACTGCGCAAGGAGACTTCTTTCTAGCTCCTTTGTCCTTTTTCCAAGTTTTTTGTTTGTTTTTAAAATTTATTTTTATTTTAAAGTCAGATTCACAGAAAGATCTTCTGTCTGCTGGTTCACTCTCCAAGTGGCCAGAATGGACGGAGCTGAGCTGATCTGAAGCCAAGAGTCAGGAGCTTCTTCTAAGTCCCCCATGTGGGTACAGGTTCCCAAAGCTTTGGGTCATTCTCTGCTGCTTTTCCAGGCCACAAGCAGGAAGCTGGAAGGGATCCCGGAGTGCTCAAGGCGAGGATTTAGCCACTAGGCTATCATGCCAGGCTCTTCATTCTAAGTTTATGATCAGCTTTTTAAGATCTGGTTTTATTTTTTTTTTAAGATTTTATTTTTATTATTTTTTATTGGAAAGGCGGATATACAGAGAGGAGAGCCAGAGAGGAAGATCTTCTGTCCGATGATTCACTCCCCAAGTGAGCGCAATGGCCGATACTATGCCGATCCGAAGCCAGGAGACTCTTCCGGGTCTCCCACGCGGGTGCAGGGTCCCAAAGCTTTGGGCCGTCCTCAACTGCCTTCCCGGGCCACAGGCAGGGAGCTGGAAGGGAAGCGGGGCTGCCGGGATTAGAACCGGCGCCCATATGGGATCCCGGGCGTGCAAGGTGAGGACTTAACCACTTTGCGCCACCGCGCCGGGCCCAAGATCTGGTTTTAAAAACTTGCTGGTTATAGTTGTGTTGAATCTACAGATCACACAATTCCTTTTGAAATTCTTTAGTACTCTACTTGGATAAGTCCTGTCCCCGCACCTCTTCCCTATACAGCCACATCCCCATCTGACAGACAAGGTCTGCAGCAAGTAAAGCAGCCTAGAGAGGAGGAGAGGCAGGAGGTGCTCCATCCCCATGAGGGCCCCTTCTTCCCAGAGCCAACCTTTTGTGGCTAACTCTGGTAGTCAGTGACTCATGCCTAAGGCAGCCCCTCCCCCAGCCCCTTGTTCACTGCCCGGATAAGAAGAGGTACCCTGGAAAGCTGGCCCACAGAGAGGGCCCTCTTGTCAACTGCTGCTCTGGTTTTCTTTTCTGACCCTCTGTAATTCTTGCTGGCAGAGTAAGTGCTGTGTGCCCAGCCTGGTGGGAAGTACTGTTGGGTTCTTGGGGCTGGTTGGAGAGTAGAGGTATTGCACGTCCCATGTGGGCCGAAGGGGTGTGTGTCTTGTCAGGTGGCTGACTGAGGCAGCAGGTTCCAAGCCCCCAGCCCCTGCAACTGTCACTACCCCATGGCTTTGAGTAGAAATGTGCACCCAGCTTGGGTAGTGGGTCACCTTGAGGGCCAGCGGTTCTCCCCGAGGCGAGGGGCACATAATGCAAAAGAAATCAGCACCCTGACCTTCCTTCTTCAGGGATGAAGAACCTGTTCCCCAACTTAGCACACACATGACCCTCCTGTGGAGAGAGATCCCACCCTTGCTGAGGCTGAGAGACCTGGCCCCGTGCCCAACCCGTTTGGTCTGGCCAATGCCAGGCTCCTCCCCTATGTGGGTTCCTTTCCAGGGGTGGGTCTGCACTCCTGGGTGTGTGGCCAGTCCATGACGTCAGCTTGTTCTGACATACATATCTCCATTCACTGGTACCTCCAGGGCAACTCCCATCCATACCTCACTCCAGGCCCAGGATGTCTCAGGCGTGGGCCATGAGGGTGGACCCCAGTGCCACAACTCATGTTGAAGCAGCAGACTGGAGACCCACAGCTACCCTGTGCCCCAGGACTAGCCCAGAAATGTGGGTGAATGCATCCAGAGCGCACAGGCTTGAGGAAGTAGTGAGACCCATCGACCACAATTGGCACCGGGGGTGGCCCTTCTGTTTGAACAGAGCACAACTGCGTCTTGATAGCCTGTTTGTCATGATGTTCCCAAGCCCTGCTCTGGCCATGGCCCCTGCTCTGAGGCTGGGTGTGGTCTTAGTTGTAGGTAAGGAAACCACAGTTGAGGCAGGTGGAGTGACAAGTGGAAAGGAGCTTGCATTGAGACTTCTCCCAGGTGTCTGATATGGAGCCAGGGAGGGAACCAGGAACTCACCCAGCCTCCTATTGCAGGCGAGACTGAAGTTGGTCCTGTCCTTGTCCTGCAGGCTCCCAAGGCAGGCCAGTCATGGCTCTGCCCCACACCTTGCCCTGTATACCCTCAGTAGGAGCCTCGTGACCTCTATCCCACATGCCCTTCTAGCTGAGGCTTGCTTGATGGGTACCAGGGATGCCAGGCTGAGGTTCCAGTGCCCAGCAGCAGGGGCTGACCCCTTGCTGCCCCAGGTGAACTGATGGTTGTGGGCATCGTCCAGCTCCTGGAGCGGTCTGCGGAGTGGATGGCCTGGGATGCTGAGAAGCAGTGGACCCCTGTCCCCCACCATCTGTGGCCAACCCTCATCCTAGACTTTGCGATTCAGCTGAACTCCCTAAACCTTTATTCTCCTTCCTCTTTCAAAACAAAATTGGTGGGCCTGGCAGCGTGGCCTAACGGCTCGAGTCCTCGCCTTGAATGCGCCGGGATCCCATATAGGCGCCGGTTCTAATCCCAGCAGCTCCACTTTCCATCCAGCTCCCTGCTTGTGGCCCGGGAAAGCAGTCCAGGACGGCCCAAAGCTTTGGGACCCTGCACCCACATGGGAGACCCGGAAGAGGCTCCTGGCTTCGGATCGGCATAGTATCGGCCATTGCGCTCACTTGGGGAGTGAATCATCGGATGGAACATCTTCCTCTCTGTCTCTTCTCCTCTCTGTATATCTGACTTTGTAATAAAATAAATAAATCTTTAAAAAAAATGGTGAAGTTCATAAATTATAGTTTCTTTAGAAATTCAGAATTTCTGTAGAGACATTAGAAAGTGAAGATTCATGTATCTCTGCATATCCTGCATTTTAAAAACTTTTTTGAAA